TCTCTCTCTCTCTGTCTCTCAATTTTTTCAATTTCAATAAGCTTTATTGGCATGACTGTAGATTAACAATATTGCCAAAGACATTAAAAATTTACAAATAAAGTACTCTCTCTCTCTCTCTCTCTCTCTGTCTCTCTCTCTCTGTCTCATTGTGTCATACGAATTACTGTTCTTGGGCTTTGATCAGTGAATATAATGTGACTTGGGATGTACGCCAAACGCTGGCTCCGTTATGCAGCAGATCCAGCTGTGCCGCCGTCACCAGAATAGGACGTCGCTTTACGTGACGCTTCAGAGTAAGGCCGTCTCATGTCTCTTATCAGCAATCCTCGCTCCTCACTCCTAACTCCTGACTCCTTAAATGTTTTCCTAAGTGGGAGGGACTAAACAGTTAGGTAAGGTGGCTAGGTTAGGTGGTTAGCAGTAATTTTAAGGGACTTGGGACGTACCCCATGTGTAGATATGAACAGCTCATTCTGAGGGAACCAGAACACAAGCATCAGATTATAATCTGACACTCTGGAGCTTTGATGTTTGTGGAGATGATTATGTTAATGTACTGTAAGCTGATGAAGACCATGAAATGTGACTGAAAGCTCTTCATGTTTAATGTATGAAAATATTTTTTCCATTCACACTTTGAAACGTTTCAATGAGAGAACAAATTCAGAGGTTCACTCAAACTTTGGGGTTTTACAGTCTGAACAGTTTTTGAATTACACCTGGTGTGTTTCTGTTTTTATCTTTTATTTTATTCACTTTACTTTTGCAGATCTTTATCTCACGGTGCTGCAGAGTACGATCCTGTGAAGCGCTGAGCAGTGCTGTAAAGTTTATTGGTTAAAGGGTCGATGGGTGATGCGTTCACTGACCTGATGAAGAAGGTGGCGGCAGGAGACAGAGGTTGGCTGGTTTGGGTGGCAACGCTGTGAGCTGCTGGTTTGATGTCCTGAGTGGAAGTCTTCGGGGTCACATGATCTGCATCTGATGTCAGAGCCTGACAGATGAGACACAGGAAGTTAAAACCTGTCATTCGTTATGATCAATAATTTTATTGATTATTGTCGGTTCATGCTGGAAAATCACGTCAGAATAAAGACACTTTACTGATCGTACAAGTTTATATTCTGAATAACAGTCACTATGTTTGTTTCTGTCTCTGAATACTACACTACCCATGAGCCTCTGCTGCTGTTGCTATGGAGATGAAGCCAGTCAGAGGCCTGAGTCAGTCACCATGGTAACTGAATTCATCCCAAACTGATCCAGAATCATAAACAGAAGCTGTGTGGTTGTAAAATCAGTTTTCTCGTTAACGTGGCGCTCTGTGATTGACTGACTGTTGGAGAAATGCATCATGGGAGCTGTAGGTTTTCTGACCACTGGCCTCTTGTAGCTTTGACTGTTTGATATTTTCTGATTTTCAGACTGAAGCCTCGTTGATTCAATAAAAAATGATTAACGTCCTCGGACATGCTCAAGGTCCCAGAGGAGGAAAAGATGACCGCCCCTGCAGCGGGAGTTTCGTTAGCTTGACGCTCCATCAGCTGCAGCAGGAGGAGGCTCATGTTGATGAGGTCATTAACTGATTATCTGAGATCATTAGACGACTCGCTGGCGTCCAAACTTCCCACTCTGCTCCATCACAATAACATGACCGCTGACTGAACAACTGATGTCGGTGGCTGATGGCTAATCCTGCTAAACGCTAACGAGCAGAGAGCAGCGAGGGCCGCCAGCTCCTCCGCTGGTTTGAATCTGTGGGACAGGTTTTAATTATTCAATCAGGTTCAGAGCGTTAAACAGAAAAACAGCTGTGAGGTCATTATCAGGAACTCGCTGTTGTTCTGAACTGTGACTTCTTCTTCTTCTTCTTCAGTATTACCCTTAAGGCCTAATTCCATCTTAGCTGGGGGGTGTTGCACAGAATCCCTTAAAAAAGTTTCCTTAGTTAAGCAAAAACACATTAAAAGAGATTTTATGACTGTTTGCGCTCGTGATGCCTGATCTCATCTCACAGAGTAGAATTAATGAGAAGATGGCAGAAGAAAAGAAGACGAGACAATAAAGTTGTTCAGAGGAGGAAAATAGACAGAATAGAATAAAAGACTGCACTCACTAAAGAGTAAATCTGATCTGCAAATAACAACAAGAGCGTACATGGAGGACACTGCAACCAGAGCCTGGACTCATTCTGAAGTTGTCAAAATCCGGTGCTTGGGCAGTGACTCGTCAGAAACCAACAAAACAAGGTGTCCTTTTATGTCACCATGATATGCTGCCAGTGGTTGTTTAATGCCGCCCAGCAGCACCAGGGGAAACATGGCGATACGAGGACGAAAGTTAAGGCGGCAAAAGTGCGAGTTTTCAGGGGTGGTAAAACTCTAAATGCTAAGTGAACACTTTACGGAAATGGAGGAGAAGAATTAAGGGTGTTTTGTGCAAACAATTTTATTCTTAAGAAATCTTAACTCAGATTTTAAGGATAATCTTCATTTAAGGTGTTTTCACCATCTGAGGAGAAACTGAGTGCCGTGGATGTGTGCGGTTTGTGTCAGGTGTGTGTGTGCGTGAGCTTGTTGTGGAGACTGACGAAGCTTCTCTCAGCATGCTGATGGAGAACAATGAGGTGGATAATGAAGACGTAGCTTCCTGCAGAGGGTGGAGCGTTTACCGGCTGCTGCTGCCGTCAGCCCACATCAACATCTGCTCCACCACAGCCATGAGTCTGCAGAGCTCTGACTCACACACACAGAACTCTGGGAAATCAAAACCAAGGTCATGATGAGGTCCTGGTCCCTCGTACCTGAGAGAGACTGCAGGGGGCGTTCTAACAACCCCTGAGAGTCTGTGTCAGATGTTATCTTATGAATCTTTTCTGTCTCCAGGATCAGGACAGGCGTCAGTCAATGAAACAGTCTTTATAACATTGAGTTGTGCTAACGTTAGCTTAGCATAAAGACTGGGAGCGGGGGGAAACTGTTAGCCTGGCTCACCCATCAGCTGATGAACATGTTGGACCTGATTCGTTTTAACATGTCAGAATAAACATGAGGTAACACACACGTTTTGTTTAAATCCCAGAGAAGTTATTAACCAGGTTTGTATGTGTATGTATGTGTGTGTGTGTGTGTGTGTGTGTGTGTGTGTGTGTGTGTGTGTATTGATGCAGTTTGTCCCTCACGGCTCACCGTAGCGTGCAGGTGTTCAGGAGTGCAGCAGGAGACCCTCCACACTCCCTCCAGGTGGTGCTGTGCGTTCAGAGGAAGAGGTGTGACTGTGGCCAGACCTTTGGCTCCGCCCCCTCCCAGGTAGGTGCTGTGAACTCCGCCCCACCCCCACAGAGTCCTGCCCCCCTGATGATCCTCAACCGACCACTTCTGCTGCTTCAGCGGCAGCTTATCTGACATCGGCCGGGCGAAGGTGGTGGTGGCAGTGGAGGTGGGGGGTGGGGGTACACCGGGGCCAGCAGGGCGAGGCGTCATCTCTCTGCTGATGCCCAGAGCACGACGCAGAGCGAGACGTCTCAGCTGGTGGAAGGAGGCGCCACACACGTCACAATGAGCATCCACAGAGGCATGGCGGCCGCGGCGAGGACACTGGAGCCGCTGGAGTTTATCGAAGAGGAAGGAGGCATAGGCCACGTCCTGAGGGGGCGGAGTCAGAGACAAAAGATTTAAAGTCAATATTCAGATCAGAAGAAAAGTTTAATCTTTGAGGAGCTGATGAAAATGAAAAACTCTGAAACTCCAGTTTGTGTTTGAGTGTTTCTGTGTTGGCTAAACGTAACCACGTGTGTGTGTGTGTGTGTGTGTGTGTGTTGGCTAAACGTAACCACGTGTGTGTGTGTGTGTGTGTGGGTGTGTGTGTGTGTGTGTTGGCTAAACGTAACCACGTGTGTGTGGGTGTGTGTGTGTGTGTGTTGCCTAAACATAACCACGTGTGTGTGTGTGTGTGTGTGTGTGTGCGTGTGTGTGTGTGTGTGTGT